TCTAACAGTTTGAATTTTTCTAGAGGAGTAGTGAATACACCAGGAGCAGAATTGCTAGACTGACCATGAGTGAGATCAGGCATTTTTCACTTCAATCTCCCTTGATGAGAGGAGGGCTTCTGTGTATGCTTAGCTGGCATTCAAGTTTCAGTGGTAATATCAGTGTTGTTCAGATGGTAGTATTGGGATGACATTAACCAGTCATGAAATATCCAACATCAGAAGTCACATGTACATTAGCTATATTATGTTTAGTCTGGGCACTAATGTATGAGAGAATTTTTGCAAGGCTATCTCAACCGTCCAGGGGATACTAACACAACAAACTCAAGCGCGGGCTCCATCAGACACAACGCCCGAATTAGTGGCCATTTCAGTAATGGACCTCTTGCACGCCGCATTAACTGTGATACGACCGGCTGTGTGCAGAATGTTGAGGTCAGAGGTGCTGGGTTGTTTGCTGGTTACGATATGCGCTGTATCGTACTGGTAAATTTATACCGCAAGATGGATCATGTGCCCCCCCCCCCCCGGCCGACGCGAAGAGTATCTATACATCTATCTATTTCTTTAGATACCGCAATGGTGGGCCACTCGCTCACTCACTCACTTGCTAACGGCAGCAATATTTCCTGAAATTATACCATCCGGCAAGCAAGGTTGAATATCTTTTTTTTTTTTTTTAAGGTAAGAAAAAAAAAAATACTCAACCTTTGGCCGAGGGTTTTTTGATTTTTAACCTATTACCCAGGGTATTGCTCGTGATAGCATTACCGTATGATAACAATACTCCGGGATCATTGACCCCTATATAATACCACTACTCGTTCAGGGAATGAGAAAAAAAAATGATAATAACAAAAATAGCTATGCAGTCCTCGGTTCCGATCCCTTTTTTCCGTATTCACGGAAAAGAAGTTAGTGCCGCACTAAACATGGCTGAAAAGATGTTAGCCATAAGTAGAATATTTACTGGTAATGGGGGGGACCTTGACGTCAGGGTTGAAAAAGGGGATATGACAGCAGAGATGCAACAGTAACGACAAGGGAATACAACTCAATAGCAGAGTTTTTAGCTGTTCAATAATATGGTAAGCAAAGAACACTGGAAAGCAAGAATATAACCGGTTTGTTAATAATCTTTAGAAACTCCGATTGAAGAATGGCATACTATACTGAACACCCAGCCCTTAGAATTTTGGATGACTTGAACCCCATACCACCACATGCAGCTTCTATGAACCTTGATGACTCGGAAGAAGAGGTGGAATTAAAAGAAAATGCGTATGAGGAAGCAGACCATGCTGATATGGTAGCCAGAAATGAGGAGGAAGAGGAGGAAGCAGAGAGTGATAGTCAAGAAGAAAGTCACAATCGCTGAGCATCAGTCTGGGATCTTGACCGAGAATTACCTCCTCTACCACGATTCCGTCCACTGATTCATCCTTCACCTAAGCATACACAATACCTTACTCTACCTCCAGAGTTTTCCTCCTACAATTCAACTACTAGCAACAATACGAATGGTGGGAAGATAGTACAGTTGACTCCGGGGTCTTTTTTCCAATTGTACTTTCCCGATACCGAGTTCAACATACTAGCAGAAAATACAAATGCTTATGCAGAGTACAAGAATGCAGGTCAGAGAGGGCGCAGATGGCAGAAAACTTCGGCTGGGTTGATAATGATTTTTGTTGGCCTATTGATTTACATAGGAGTGCATAAGGCAAGAATTGGGCTATATTGAGAAGGAAGTCATGTGTTTCTCATACACGATATTACACAATACATGTCAAAGTTTCGATTCGAGTAGTTAAGACAGTATTTTCATGTCACTCCAGTTACTGTCCAGTCCCGTTCACAATACCATTGGACAGAAAAGCTGCAACTACTGGCTAGAAACCTGGAAGAGAGATTTCAGACCTATATGGTACCAGGCAGTAGTGTAGCAATCGATGAGATAATGGTAAGATTTACAGGGCGCTCAGTTCATACGGTTATGATGCAGGCAAAACATATTCCTCACAGCTTCAAGATGTTAGCTTTGTATGACTGAGGTTATACCTATGCCTTTATGTTTACCTCAAGAGTTGATAAATTTTCTGATTTAAAAGACTCTTTATACCAGGAACCAAGTAAACAGAGCCTTTCTCCTACTTCTCATACTGTTTTCCAATTGATGATGTCTCTTCCCTATACTACACATCGTTTTATCCTGTATTGTGACAATTATTTTTCCAACATACCTCTTTTTAAAGCACTTCATGAATATTCTATTGCGCGCCTGTGGTACAACTAGACCAAATTCCTCAAAATATCCCCACATTCTTAAATTCAATAAGCATGTATCTCATCTACCATGGAATACACTTTCTGGTGTAGTGGTAAATGATGTTTTGGCTATTGTTTGGCAAGATAAAAATGTGGTCAGATTTCTAACAACATATCATGAGTGTACCAAAGAGGAAGAAAATTTTGCTATTCACTTCTGAAGGCAACCACGAATTACTCCTAACAACCAAGACCTGGTATTAGCTGAGTGGGGTGATCAGGCTATTAAAGAGATGAGAATACCACTTCTTTCAGTTAACTATAATAACTACATAGGGGGGGTGGATATAGCAGATCAGCAAAGAAGTTACTACTATATACAGCTTCATGTATGTTGTAACTGGCTTCCCCTCTTCTTTTGGTTACTTGATACTACGATCATCAATTCTTTCCTTCTTGTACAAATCTATTTACATACTCCATTATTGCTGTCCCCAACCTCATCTCCGAGTCCTGCACTCCCATCTCAATCATCTTCAAACCTACATTTACCAACCGCTGCAGCTACTAGGTTAGTATTCAAAATGCTTTCACTAATGTTCCTACTAATAATACATATAGTTCTACTACCGACACTCGAGCAACAGTATGGACTAACCATGGTTTTTTTTGGACAAGACTGGCCTGGAACCTTGTCTTAGAGGGATTTCACCATACAAATCCTTCATCCGTCCACATCCTTCATATAAATCCCTCCGCAACCTCACATTCAGGTACTCAGCAATTTTCTCCCGGACTTATACCACAACAAAGTTCTAAGAAAAGAGGTTTTGGAACCTATATAACTAAGAACTTTGAGCTTGATAAACGATGGCTACTTCCTGGAACTCATACTTTGGAAAAAGCTGTCCAAAGCAAAAAGCCTTTGTCTTTTTTGTCACTTCCTTTCCAAAAACCCCCAGTTTGCCTCAGTATTTAATAGTCCCCAGGTCCAGGTGGCCAGGTACACTACACTGGTTTTCAGTGTTCTTTATGCCAAGTTCCGTTATATAAAAGCTTTTGTATGCGATTGTATCATGATCCAAATTTCACAGGTTCACAATAGGCATTTGGGGCATTTAATCCTTTTGTCCTTTCTAGATTGGTCTATCTATTAAGTCCATCTTTTATGGCATCGCGTATTTTCTAGTGTGTTGCAAGAATGGTTAATCATGTGTCGCTCATTGCGCTACGGCACGCTAATTTTCCGTGAATTTCGGAGTACGAACGAAGGGATGCTCCTGAAGTGCTTGGGCCCCTCCAATCTGCGTGTGTAATGCTCCGGGATGGCGGACAGAAACACACGGGACACAAGAGTGCCCCGCCAACCTGCTAGCCACTCCCTCGCCCAGTTAGTGCCTATACCAGCTGCATTCCATCGAGTGAGGTGGAGGAGGAACTAGCGGCGAGCTCGAGGAAGAGATATAACCTCACAAGAAAGAAGAACAAGATATCGATAACAGCAGCCTGTTGTCCGCACCCTGTCCACAGTGGAGAACCTGGAGCTACCGGAGATCGATACAGTAAGGGAAAATATGAATTTGGCTACCTATGGGTATTATAGGTTCTGCGTATCGCTGAGCTCAACATAGGCGGACGAAGATTCGGTCAGATGCACGGGAGGGTGATAACGTATTGGGCAGGCATCCGCCAACTTATCATGGGCAAAGACACATGTTCAAGAAATGGGTTTATAAGCATCGGTCACCGCGTCTGATTAGCAGTAATCCCTCGCGTGCGACTCTTCCGAGAAAGCGTGGGAAGTCCGCAAAGCAAACGATGGAAAGCGGCTTGATTGTAAACAGTCACCCTCACCCTCACGCTCGCAGACCAGTTCAGGCGTGTCCATGTCACACCAGAGTCCGTACTGTAAAACACTCAGGAACCCCAGTTGCTACTACGAATAAATAACTGGAGGTGAAAAAAAAAAAATTTGAAAAAAAATTCTTGTATTTCTTTTGTGCTGACCCCGCCGATCGCAGACCTCACCCTTGAGATATGTGCCTGGTCTTGAGTCGGATTCTATGATACCCCCTCGCAGTAGGTCTGATTTTCCCTACAGCCTTCTTGAGGAAGGCCAAGATCTTCAGTCCCCCAGTCCCCATATAGCAGAATTCCCTAACTCCCCTACCCTATGTGCGGGATTGCTCAATAATAACGAGAGAAATTGAACTCCTGGGCTCCTGCTAGTTGCTCGGGGTTTAATTGGTTCTTTACATATTAACCACTGCGCTAGCTAGGTATGATATTTCACGTACTGCCACCTTGGGAGAAATACTTATCTTGCTAGTATGTAGATCTGCTTTTTTTTTTTTGCCCCCCCGAGCTTAAATATTATTAAACCATCGGCGTGAGCAGGTACGGAAGAGAATCTATAAGCACCGATCCCCGGTAGCTAACTACTAAATGCCTCCAGGTTCTACGAAAAGTAATAACCTCAGCTGGAATATCCATAATATAAAAAGAAAGAGGCGGGTTTAGCTATGAGTAAAGCAGGATTCGGAGGGGTTTACGTATTATAGATATAGTTAAAGGCGGACAGACATCCACACATTGATAAGTGTTTCATGGCTTATGGTAACCCCGCCCAGGGTCAGATTTCACTCTCGAGTAAAGGGCCCTAATAAAGAAAGGATTCTGTCCGAGTGATTATTCATGTCATACCACGGTTGCGGGCTGGGCGGTGGAAGCCATGTTAACTATCGTATGATACTATCGATACAGCACTTGCAAGTAGATCCCGCCCATTCAATAATGACAGAAGCCAAAATACACCAGTTCATCGTCCATGTTCAATATTACCCAATTGAGCCCACCAAACCCACCAAGCCACCTACTAGGAAGTGACTAGGAAGTGAAACCGCCCGCCTCCATTTCAGGGAACCTCCCATACACAAAAGCTATAAACAGTACTGGATAAGGGTACAGTACCAGGACGCATATCTCATAGTTATAAAAAAACCCTCAAACCATTAACGCCACACCCAACAATATAAAACACGAGCATACCAAAGAGTCCGAAAAGGTAATTATTCCTCCCTACCTCCCAAGCTCTCTCCTCAATCTCGCTGCTGCGCTCCTCGGCTCCGGAGCTGGCCAGGTCAGGGCCAACTTGTCAATTTCCTACCACAAAAGTTAGCTCCACCACCCACAGCACTGGGGAAATGATGATAGATGGACCAACATCCATAAAGACCCTACTATTCAACACGCTAGTCCCCCCAAGCACAACCCTCACTCCCGGCGTTGAAGCGTTAATTTGCGCAATCAACTTCGCTTCCTCATACGTGGTACCTCCGACCATGAAAATAATGATATCTTGGGGCTTATCCCTTGTTGTTCCGCTAGCTTCCACAAACGGATGCGTAGCCTCTTTCAGACGACCCTTGATCAAGTTGTTGAGAGTTTGCTCTAGACGTGGGGTGTGTTGAGTGTAGACATTTTCGACGCCCTTAAGACCCTTGAATCCACCACGCGCTCGAGAGAAGATACTGTCTGCTTCGAAGAGATCTTCTTGGCGATTTACGGTGGACTGATAGTGTAGCAGGTTGGAGATTGTCTAGGTTTGTTAGATGCGTAAGGATAGATATGGGGATATGGAGTGTACATTGAACCGGGAGTTTGGTACTCCATTGACTTGAAGTAGATCTAGAAGGACTGCTAGAGCGTTGTTGGGGTGCTTTTCGTAACGTAAGCTATAGAGTGCTACTAACCGGACTTTATTTTCGCTGGGAACGTTTGATTGCAGGAGACGTTGGAGAGACTAACACCGTTGATAAATGAACGAGCGTTAAACCCGAGAGTGCCAGGCATACCTTTAAATCGGCCCCATGCGAGTCATTGCAAGCAAGGCTCTGCTCGAGCTCACTAACCTCCAGCAGGCTATCCTTTTCGACCCTCCGACTAAGCTCCCCAACAAGCGTAACATGCTTCGTGACATTCCCGGAAAGCCGCCGGAACTCGGGGTACTCTTCAACGAACCTCTTCATATCCGCAATACTCTCAATATTCATGTTCGATTTAGTCTTGTGTTGATATGTATCCACATAATCCTTGATGTTCCCACCAAGGTCGCCGAAGTTGAGATACATATTCTTCTTGAAGAATGGATCCTGATCTTGCGAAAGCACAATTTCCTGGCCCACTGTCAATAGCCACATTAACCAAGTACCAGGATACCCATACCTTTAGCTCAGGCCTAACGTCCGGCACCCCAGACAAGTCCACCCGTCCATTATGTATCCCCAACAATTCATGGACCATGGCCTGATACGTCCATTGCGACAACAAAGGTGTAACCGGGTCATTCCTGCGATCAAGAATCAATAGAATCGGTGGTGTATCCGCCCTTCGCCCAAAGTCGAAAAGCTGGTCCTCCTGTGCAATTTGATACTTGATCTCCACTGCCAATTTTTTCGCCAATGCACTGTTTTTCTCATACCGTACGAGCGGCCTCTTCTTCAAGCTTAGCAATACTGCGAGAATCCCCTCCGCAGAACGTACCAGTCCATCCCCATTCCACAAATCCGGCGATGTAGACCATATACGTCGCTGTGGGCCACCCAAGCCTAGGGAGAACAGATCGGGATTAATAACCAGAAAGTCGGCAAAGTACTCGTGGACTACGCGGACCACTTCATGGTCATCAGCTTCCGCGAGGCGTTCCAACGATGATTTTTTGACAATGTTGCTGAAATCTTCCCATCCGAGGTTTAGCTCAAGCTACCAGCAGGGCGGGGGGGAAGAGGGGAGTGTAATACAGATATGGTATTCCCCATACTTTGGCTCCCGGAATTCATCAATTAAGAGCTGTACCGCATCCGAAGTCGGCCGTACAAAGCAAAGACACCGAAGATGTCGCATCTTCTCCCGATCGGCATTGTCTAACCGGCTAAACAACATTAGTTCCTTCCCTTGAACCTCACAGGCAGCTGGACAAACTCTATCAGATAAACTTCATGGCTGAGCAAGGTGGACTGTGTGATAGCAGTAGATATTATGGACACCTGGGCAACATTAGACCCCTGGAACCCAGCGGGATGGGGGGTAGGACTGACGGTTTCACTGTCGAGGAGGAGAATCTTCATCTTCCCAGAGGGGCCTCCGGCACCGACCGACGATACCATCTTCCCAACATAACTCGAAACGGCGGAGACTATATCCATATTTTCTGTAGGGGGGGGGGTTGATCAATGAGAGCCGCGATGAGTTCCGGTGTCAAGATGTCGTTGCCAAGACTGAGAGTGTGCCTGCAGCTCCAGGGATGTGGACAAGTCGGATGCCTAACCCCTCAACTCTGGTGCCACTACGGGAGTCTACCGTACTCTACCAATCAACAGTTCATGAAATACGATAAGATAAGATAAACTACTCGTAGTGCAATACCGTATCCTAGATGCAGTGGATCTATTGACAACTGAAATTAAATACGCTGGCAAGAGAATTCTTTTTTACATTCCTCTTATGTCCAACGCTTATGACCCAATTTCCAACATCAGTTCTACACTCAATCAAATGCCCCACAATTGAAAAGGAAAAAAGAAAAAAAAAATAAGCGTTCAGGTATCATACACAACAGCCCATTTATTAACCGTATCTCGCGAACAAATAAAAATAAAAATAAACTTGGCCCCCCGCTTTCTGTCCCGTGATTCGTGCCTCGTTACAATTTTTTCCAACTCTAAAATCCCTCTGCCATATCCCTGCTATTGATAAACTCATACACGTGCGCCGGCAGCTTATACTGTATCATCCCAGCGTACATCATCACGTTCTTAGCTCTAGTCCTGAGTTCATTGACTTTCCGGTTCCTACTAGCGTCCGCATACATGCTGTCCCGTAGCTCCGCCGAAAGACGGCTACAGCACTCCACCGTCATCTTGAGGAGAATACCAACATTCCTGGCAACAGTATCATGAAGGGTGCCAAAGTTTTGGGCTCGGCGACGGATGGAGCCCACATCTGCATCCTTTTCGATGGGTATCACATCGACATCCTGAATAATCTAGGGTAGAAATGTTAATGCCAATCACACCATGGTACGCATGAGAAAGGACTTACTTGAAGACAAAATTCCCATTTCCCTTCTCGATACCTCTTCTTGGCCTCTGCAATGCTAAGAAGCACCTCGGCAGCTTCCCTGCTCCTAATCGAAATCTTGCTATACATTGCGGCGCTGTTGGCGTACATACTAAGCATGCGTTTGGCCAACTGGACCGGATCATCGACAGAAGTAAGGGAAGAACCCGCGCCCGGTAGAGCGGAAGTTCCGGCCTGGTGGCTAAAGTCAAGTGCAACATCTTCAGAAGCAATCGAGTCGGAAAGGTTCTTGTTGATGATCTCAACAACAGTCTCGAAATCTTCGGCCAAGTGATATAACAGGACCGCATCTGATGCTCTGCCGTCATCATTTGCCTGGCCAGCGGCTTGCTCTGTAATCGTCCGGAGGTATTCCCGTTGGTCATCCAATTTAATCAGTTTCATCCTCCTTTCAATAGCGCCCTTCTGTCTTGTCCCATCGGCATGCACGTCACCAAGAAGCTTGGTAAATTCTCGAGTTTCCAACACAAGTTCCCTGAGCGCATCATGACAGATAGTAAGGTGCTGACCGCCGGCGGGTGAAGGCAAGTCACCATTCAGACAGATAAGGCAGAGATAATCTACAGCCTCCTCTGCATTTGGTGTCCGGAAGTCTCTAGTGTAATAGCCAATAAGACGAGGAAAGTTGATCTGCTTCTCTCCTTTAGGTCCCAAAGTCACTGCAAGGACAATGTTATTAACATCCAATATAATCAATGTGTGGGCAAATTCTTACAAAGATCTGTATCTGCCTTTGCGGGATTGGTGGTTGGCCTTAGTAGCCCATAGTAGGTAAGCGCAATTGCAAAGTGGACACCATCCACAAACTGGAATGAATAGAGATAATGAACGGCCTAGAATTTGGTTAGCACCGAACACGCCAAAACGGATAGGAATGGGCAGGCACACATCTTCGAAAAGCCCAGACATCAACAACATCTGGAAGTACAATCCCACATTGCTTCCCTTGGCTCCAAAATGCTTGGCCCCAAACTGAATGACACCCTTCTGTAAATCCTGCATTGTAAACACCTCGTGTGCCGGATCCGTGGATCTATCAATCTCACGGGCGAGCACAAGCTGCAACCACATCCAGTCTTCTGCTGTAGGCATGACAGTAGGCACAGATCGCTTTGTAAGCTCACACCGACCAATGATCTTATACACTGCAGGCTTAAAGATATCTTTAGTGTCCTCAGAATGCTTCACACGGTTATTGTACTCCGCTTGAATCCTGTCCAGGAGATTTCTGGGTAGCCGGCGTTCATCACCAGCGGAACAGTATGCATGAAGATATGTTGGGAAGCTGCGGTCAAGCTTCTGGAACGATTGTTGGTTTTGACGAACAAATTCATCAGCCTCCTCGAGATAGCCAGCTCGGATAAGATAGAAAACCAATGCCCAGCAAGGAACGTCGGCAACAAAATCAAAGTTCTTGACATCCCATTCGGGGATATCCTTATTGGTAGCTAGTTTGATGTTGATATAGCCACGGAACTTGTGGAAGACGGATGGAATACCACCAACTTTAGCAATTTGAGGATTCTCGGCAATAGCACTATCAACAACATCTCGATACCTTTAGTGACATTAGCAATCATCTATCAACAGCATGCGGGCAGGAGGAACATACTGTTTCTCTAGAAATTTCCTTGAACCCTTCTGCACATGTTTACGAATCCTGGAGGCTTCCTGACTATCGCTCGCCGTGTTGATAACATAGTCCTTAACGAAACCTCTCTCCCGAGGCCCGCTGAAAGGATTCGCATCATGGACCTCAGATTCACCAGTGATATACGATAACAGTCTCCATGAGTCATGAAGTTGAACGGTCAGCTGTTAATAGATTAATAACAGTCCCAATCATACGTCAGATGAGCCTACCAAATCAGTGCCAGATTCACCAGTAATATCCCCAAATTTCTTCATCACTGGGAAAACCCTACGAGCAGCGTTCCCAGACTCCAATCTAACTTCATTCATACGTCTAATATCCAAAGCATAGTGCTGTTGCCTAACCTGCACCTGCCTAGATAGCTCCAACTGCCTTCCAGGGTCAATGTCACCAAATAGTGTCCCCTGATGGCCGCTTGAAGCAGCAGATGTGGAGCGCCCGAGAACACTATTCCCCAAGGTAGACCTCGACCAAACGCTTGTCTGAAGCCCCCTCCCCGGCCCAAAGGACGAATTCAACCTCGAGCGTCCAAAAGACGATACCCCGAACGCACTAAGCCCTCCCCCGAAACCACTGGCGCGTACATCTGAAGGGTTACCACCGGCGGCAGCAGCTGATCTTGGAGCCAAACCGAAGTGCTCAAAAATTCGCTGCTTCTGGGATTCCCACTCCATCGTGACGTTTTTCGCAACAAAGGCATCGAAATCCCGGCCCGTCCTACGCATCCCATCTTCAATCGAAGACATGACATTTTGCTCTTTTCGGTTACGAAGGTATGCCTGTCCAGCAGTCAGCAACAAGATACGGATATATATAGGCAGAACATACGTCTAGATCAGTATCGGCTCGAAAGCTAGAAGGCTCGTAGGCATTCTGGAAATCAATAGAGTCCAAGTCACGCAAGACTTCATCAGTGTTTATTCCTCCCGCAGCAAGTAAGTAATGACTGTAAAGAGGCACCCAAAAGAGAGAGAAAAATCAGCATCCGACAACAAAAACACATTCACGGAATTCGACACGTACGCTCTAGCGTCCGTTTGCCGTTGACCCCCAGGTGCGCTCCGTAGCTCTTTGGCTCGTCTTTCTATTTCCCTCAGCCCTAGCTCGATGGGTGGCAATCCACTAGAATCCTGGCCCCGGCGTAGTTTTCGCGACTGCTCTAACAGAGAGCTAAAGAGCGTAGATGTCGGAAAGCTGGTGATTGGTTCTGTCATCGTGATGCGGAGTTGAGAAATCGCGAAATCCAGGAGAGGATTATAGAAAGGATGTGGACGAACGGTTGACGCGAAAGATTGGCTGGAAGAAAATCAGCACGTGACGGGTGTTGGCTTGGCGGACCCTGCGATCATAAACCCTGACTCGCTTTTGGCCCTGAGTTTTGGGCCTCGGGCGTATCCTCTCGAACTTACCATCCGAGGCACCCTCTAAAACCTATATCGCACCGAGAAATTGCACCTATCATACCCAGTACTTCTCACGGTCTATGACTAGATTATCTCTACTATACAAACGCCAACCGCTATTTACCTAAACCATCTATCTATCCAGCTTCGGCAGATTTGACAGCGTCCTCATCCTCAGATTCGTTATCGGGTAATAGTTGCAAGCCCATCGCTCTAGCACCCTGCTCCTCCCCTACCTCATCCAGTGCCTTCAGTCCAGCAGACGAAAGGTAGTGGAACAGTGGTGACCTATACGAGTCAATAAAATGGACGAATTGTGTATATCTAGTAAATGTTAGCCGTTGATAGTCGGGGGACATGTCTCAGAGCGTATTTACATACACGTGAGCTCTCTCTTCCTCCTCAAACAGTTTGGTATATATCATTTTATCTCGGAAGGCACCTATTTCTTTGGCATGCTTAGAGAAGTCTATAGGCTCTTTTTGAAAGTCTCGTTCAGCCTTCCTATTATAAGCATCAAAGACTGGGGATTCTAAAAGAAGTCCCAGGCTGGGTGCTTTTGGTATTGGTACTACTCGAGGTCCGCATGCTTCCTTGATACGCTCGAGGGGGCACCCGGTCCGGACGACCATTATTACCATGCCAACCATCTTGCCTTCTCGACCTGTTAGCTTTGGGAAAATCCACTTCGTCTTGGGGTAACTCACGGATTTGGTGCATCATAAAAGATTGGCCGTGAACACGCAGGGACAACCACTCAGTATTATTGATAATGACTGGATCCAGCACCTGTGGAGATCAGCGGCAGTCAACGCCAACCATTTAAATCATATGCTTACCTCAAATGACTTGATAAACCTCTTAGAGCTAGGATCCTTGAAGGTTTTCTGAATCGTGAAATTGTGAAAATTATGGGTCCCTTCATAAGACTTAAACCCTTCTCGGACCTTTTGTAGCCTCTGAGGAGATATTCGGTAGGTCTTCTTCTCAGCGCGATATACGGCCCCGATTTTCCTCCATAACCTAGCCCCAACATTTATTTCACCACCTATTGCGTCTTCTGCAAGAGGCACATTCAGATCGATATCCGGATTGTCTACTGCTTCCTCCTGACTACCCATTCTCTCCTTGTGCTCAATCGCAGCCCCAGATTTGACTTCATATTCCAACGCTTTATCAAGAACTTCCTTATCCACGTCACCCAGCTGCTGGTAGATCTTCTTGTTGACCTCTTCCCACCATCCATCGCATTCTTCGTTTCTTTTCAGGAAACCCTCCAAGTCGCCCTCTCCCTCAGCCACTTTACTACAGACCTTGGCCAAATAACTCTTCGGATGCGGTGGTAGAAAGCAATGTGACGGAACCAGATACTCGTATCTTCTACTATCGCATTGCTGATATGAGCTGAAAGATCCAACTGTACGAACGATCCCCCAGACCCTGATCTGCTCAGGGAGATGAGAATTTATCTTCTGGACGATATCAGGGTCCTCAATGATGAGTTTTAACGATATGGCATTTCCGGCGGCATGGACACCTTTATCTGTACGTGCGCATCGAACCAGCGACGACTTTGCAAATCAGTAAGACCCCAATTACTAGAGCGATATAAAAGTGGGATGAGGAAACCTTTTTAGGGTCATCCGAATTAGCTTTAGATATAGCCCCGGCCTGTACGAAAGCCTCAAACAAATCTCCCTCAATACTTTTATGCGGAGGATTCAACTGCATCCCCCGATACCCTGTCCCACAATACCCAATCAGCACGGCGACCTTCTTCTTAGGCCTCCTTTCCTCTTTCCCTCCTCCCTCTCCATCTTCCCCTCCTCCCTTCACGCTCACAGCCTCAGCATTCCTAGGCTCCCACTTAGAATCTCTATTGCGCCTAGTGAACCGGAGAGATGTTAGTCATTACACTGTGGACAAGCCCCCCCCGGTGGAAGACCAACTCTGACATACTTATACGCCGTTCTGCCCTGGTCTTGTTTCTTCCTTTTGGAGCACGAACTGCTGCTGCTGCCACCGCGCCCACGGTTGTTGTGGGGCCGGGCTCGACTATTCTTGGTCCCCTGCGAATAGCTGCTGGGAGGGACGGTTTGGTCACCCGTGAAAGCATTAGTTGCAAGGCTCGAATCCGGAGGAAGGAGAGAAGCTTCTGAAGAATCATTAGTATCAGTCATCAGGAATGTGAAAGAATATCCTAGTCGAGAGGGGAAATATGGCACGAGTACTGAAGCTCAGTGAAAAATAATCTATAGTACTGTAGAGCAACTCCAACTTAGTCGGTGTGCGAAATGAGTCTGAAGCCGGGTAACAGTGCTTCTGGCAGTGGCAACAGGTAATGTCTTGGGCAAGGCACAGATCCTTCCACCCTTTCGCCCCCAGCCCTCCGATTCTCCACCCTCTGGCAACTTAAACTCACGTTCCGCTGCAACACCACCACTCGTGTTTACCAAGCGATAGGCACAATGGAAGACCCCTGCCGCTCCGGGTCCCGTCGCTCGCACCTCTCTCGAAACCACACTCTCTCACCGCACAACTCTTCTTCTCGCCATTCCCGTCACCGTGACCGTGACTCTGACTCGAGCTCTAACTCCCGAGACCACCATTCCCATGAACGTCATTCCCGGCACCATCACCGCCGCCGCCACCGCCGTCATAAACGCACCCGCTCCCCCTCGCCGGTCATAGTTCGCCCTCTAAACGCCCCACGAATCTCCCGACATGATTTTGAGTTTCATAAGGACGTGTTTGCAGACTACCTTGACATTCAGAAGGGACTGGTACTCAGTGAACTGGACAGGGCCGAGGCAAAGGGACGGTTCAAGAGATTTGTGACGCACTAGTAAGCTACACCTCCCCCTTATTTCATAATAGGAAGGAAACCAGGGGCTAATTGGCAGTAATCATGGTGAACTAGCAAGGGGGTGGTATGTTCGGATAGTTAACAGGAAGGCCAGCGATTCATCGAAGGTTCCTGAGGAACAGCAGAGCAATCTCAGAAAAGATGCAGGTTCTACTCGGCCGGAGAAGAAGAAACGAAGAATGGACACTCCCCAGTCCGAAAAGAGCGAAAGTAAGGAAGAGAACGAAAGTGAGAACGGAGAATCCAGCGAAGAGGAAATCGTGGGACCATTGCTCCCAGGCCAGCAACCCTCAAAGCGATTCCGTGCACGGGGCCCTACAATCCCCTCAAAGGAAGATCTCGACCTCCAAAAAGGTTAACTCCCCACCCCCCTTCCCCCCCAACAAAGCCTATCTAATAACCCAGTTAGAACTCCTCCGCGAAGACCAAACCCTCCAACATCTCGACCTCCGCTACACCCGCAAGCAAGAACGCAAGCTCGAAAAGGAGCGCCTAGAAGAACTCGTCCCCCGTGCCGCCGCAGGCACGCACGAACGCAAGCTTGAGAAAAAAACCGAACTCAACGCCAAGATGAAGTCCTTTCGCGAGAAGTCTCCAGACCTTGAAGTCAACGAAGAAACTCTTATGGGCTCTGGTGGGACAGATGGCTTCAAGCAGCGGAAGGCCGCGATCGAACGGAAGAAGAATGATCGCGAGATACGGAAGGAGGAGCTGCTCCGGGCCAGGATTGCAGAGAGGGAGGAGAGGTTACAGCAACATCGGGATAAGGAAGAGAGGACGATGGCAATGTTGAAGCAGCTGGCTAGTCGGTTTAACAATTGATTTTCACTCTGCCTTTTTCCTTTTTTTCCCTTTTTTCCTTTTAACTTGTAAGAGGATATATACTTTGTAGAAGACCTACCGGTATTACATTGCCACTCCCACTTAACTTAGTCCATAGCACCATACTGAATTCTAAAGCCAATACCCCTACTCTATTCTATGCCCAAACAGATTAATTCCTTCTTTATCACACTATTCATCCATTCCCCCACCAAAACCGACAGGTACTGCTATCCAAGCAACCACAAAACCTCACTCGAAAAACTAACCCCTCCCCCACCATCCAACCTCCAACCCACCATTTCAACCCACGCACAGACGATCACGACCATCCCCGCCACCAACCAACCAACCAATAGCATCCCGAGAACCTAAACCTCAACACCATCCCCACCACGGCGCTACCGTAACAAACACTACCATCACACAACATCACACAAACCAACACAAACCTCACACGCCCCAGCGTAAATACCTCCCCCCCACACGCACACAAACACCCGAAACAACCAGCTGCTTCACCAGCTTGATCACAACATCTCACTCGCGCTGCGGGTAAACGGAAAGCCACGGTAGGGTAGGGTGGTGGTACCGGTAGTGAAATCACTTCACTTCCATTCCGGAGGGGGGGTTTGGCCCTTACTTTTTTGGTCATTCTTCACGATGGGGGAAGGGGGTATGGGCGTTCGGTGAAGTGTCCGGGGCGATGCTTGGGTTACACCCTTTGGTACCCGCACCCGGTTGCTCAGCGGCTGAAGTGCTGTATGAGCCCCTTGTACGGTAGGTGAAAGGGGAAGGGGGAGAAGGAGGAAGGCTTGGAATAGTTTCCTTTTTGGAACCGTTGGATCAATACTTGTATGATATTTACCCGAGCTGTTGGATTTCTCCAAGGAGGTGGGCGCGTGGGGGTGAAGCACATGATCTGGAGGGTATGTACCCCGCGATCGGGTATGCATACGCGCAGCGGATGGTGTCCGGGGTTTGGAGGGGTTGT